CGTTGGTTGATCAAAATTCAGGTTCAAGGAAGCAATTTAATTTATTAACGACGTTTCGAATGTAAAAACATTCATTTTCAAGTTACAGGAAGTAGTGAATAATGAAATTTTGGCGGAAATGAGTACATGATACACGTATATACAGGGTGCGGCGCGGGAACTTACTTATTTGAATTGCGCGCCACGTGGCGGCCATTAGTCCTAGGAAGGTGGCGCCATGCGCAATATGGTGCGCGGGCTATGAAGTTTTTCGTCCACTCAGTTCAGTTGCGACCATGCAGTGGTCGAGAGAGGAGCGCGCGTTCGCAGTCTCTGTGTACTTTTCTAGTGGCCGGTCTATCGTTCCTGTCTCTTATACACATCTAGATGTGTATAAGAGACAGATGCAAGATTGTCCTCAGGACTTGCCCATGATGCAAGATTGTCCTCAGGACTTGCCAATGATGCAGGATCGTCTTCAAGATTCACTAATGAAACGGGATCGTTCAAAGCAGATGTCAAATCTGGTGAGGCTCAAAGTGAATTTCCTCAAAATGGCTTCCCCGCGGGCGACGAAGACGGAGAAAAACGTTTACCTTGCGACCGCTCCCGTGAAATAGCAAACTTGTTGGTAAACGCACAAACATCGGGGATTATACCACAGTACGGCAATATTGTCCAACTGTTAGCTGAAGAAATGGTGACCTGCGAAATGTGTTCTTCTATTAAATTTGTTTGTGGAAAACACAGGTACAAGTTTCTTGAAAACTGTTTCGAAATTTTGTCGGTATTGCCCAAAATCATTTACCCTAAATAAGTGAATCAAAATTTTTGGCCCTTATTGTTGAGTCAAGATAATAGAGTATTATTTTTTAAGTTCTTTCATTAATCAGTCCGTTTGTGCGTTTATTGGTGGGACTTATTTTTGTTTATTTGTGTCAACTTTATTTTTTGAAGCCTCGATGCGGCAATTATTTTAATCGCAAATCCATGATACAGAGCTGGTGATGGCGCTCCTGTACGGTGCTAATCATGCCTACATAATCAGTGGGGCGGTTTCTTGTGATTCAGTGAATGCAATTGCTTGTAATTTTTTGACGCACTACTAGATTTCATTTCCTCGTTTATTGAATTATTGCTTGTAATTTCTTGACGCACTCACAGCTATATTTCATTTACTGATTTCTTGAATTAATTTCTTCTAGGTTTATAAGAATCCCCATTAGTTTATAAGGTTTACTTACATAAATGATCGCTTATAAAATTGCAATGGACTGCCTCTAAAATTTTGCACAAAATATTCACTCACACAGAACTGGATCATTGTGTTTCCCTCTGGCAATTTAGCCGCACAATGCAATGATGAGATCAAGTTAATGGATTAATGGAAAGAACAACTCGTCTCTTAAATTTCTCATACCAGTTTAGTATCATTTAAACCAAAATCTGGCTTTTAAGCAATGAAATGTTCACCCGTGCATTCCCTACTAACGCGAGGTTTTTATTCTCGTTATATCGCCGAGACTCCGCAGCAACTATACATTTTGCTTGCAACAACGAACAGTCATCATTCTCATATAATTAAAGTGTATTTTGATGCGTTGAAAACAGAAAGAACATTTTACTAAGAGAAAGAGGTGATGACTTATCAAAAATTCATTTAATTTGCACTGGAGTAATTCAGCAGAAATATATGCGGTTTCTTTGTTCCTTAAGTTTTAAAACAATATAAAGTTTAAGTTTTAAGTTAAGGTTAGATTTTGACCCAATATGTTGCCATAACGTAATATGCATCAGTTTATTCACGACACAGCCTACAAAATGTAACGTGTCATTTCAGCTTATTGCTAGCTTTTTTATTCATAGTGCAATTGTCAGTATTCCTCTGTTCTACCTTTAATTTTTTGCATTACGTTAAGAGCCTCAAGACTGCTAAAACTATTTGGGTTTTAGTCTTATTAATAGACTTTTGATTGCCTAACTTTTTTTTCTAGGATTAAATAATTATTTTTGTGTGATGTAAAAATTGTCCATGACCTGCACCTTTTAATTACCTATATTTGTTGATTGAATACGAATGATTAAAATCTCTGCCACACGTCCCACACCTTGTGCCCCCGGCCCGCTATTGGATTCAAATAGAACATTTATTTTATTCGCTAAATTCAATAACAATCATTATATTAGTACTACAAAACGATCATCATATGTATTACTGTATTACAGTAGTACTCGTATGTTTTACGTAGCCGCTCCCTCGAGGCACGCCGTGAGCCCGCGAGTAAGTAGGTTCGGTCCTTCAAGCGTTACTCGATCATTATCAATTACGGAGCACGGATCTTATAATCCTTACTCTGTGACAAGCTCTAGTCTTCGAAATGATTAATAAACTCCCTCATCCGTCATAAAAATAATTCACAACAAATTTAGCTCATGACACAAGGTAAGGTAAGGATTCCTAATATTTTCTGACATAAAAAAACTCTTTACTGAATACTCACCGAAGAACAGATCAAGAGCAAAATTTCCTTTCACCATCATTGTGAGTTCTATATTTCACATCCAACATTGGTTACAAACTTTGTTCTTTTCCACTAGACAAATAGGGATAGTGATTATCCATTAACAAACTTGTCAATCCACTGCACGAAAATATCGTTAGTTTATTTATAAATCTTAAGATATCTCCTCTAAAGAAATAATAGTCAATAAATTTTCGCGCTTTAAACGTAAGTCTATATTGCAGTGCAATTTAAAAATACTAACGCACACAATATGCTGACGATATCAAATGATATTTCTAAATTAAAAAGTACAAGCTTGAAGTTTGAACACGAATGGCATGACAAGGTTTGCGCCAAGCCTAATCTTTAGAAATGTAATATCTGATATATCATTGGGAGGCTACAGGTTACCTTCGATGATGATAATTGAAAAAAAAAACAATCATCTTGAAATATTGATCAATTGTAAGATATTGAATTTTATATAAAAGCGTCGTGAAAAACCTACTTGATGTTCTGCATTCCAGGCTCCACGACAGTTTACGCACATGGCGGTGCTTGACAACTCGATCGTTCGATGTTTGAGTTGTAGCGCTTGCGTACAGCGCTCATGAGCAGGTTGAGCTAGGTTGTTTCTATGCCATGAATCATGATTTACCTCTATTGTGTTTATTAGCTTTTTATCACTTAGAAGTCACATTTTTGATAGTTTTATTTTTTGTCGATGTATTAACGCTTTCACTATTTGGAATATATCATCATATTCGCACTTCGTGGAGCACGGCACAAAATTTACTGTTGACCCGATAACTTTATGGACGAATTTTACATATTTCAATTTTGGCGCGTAGGTATCAATCGCAAGCGTATTAGGTATATATGAAATGCAATTGATAAATTCCAATTCTTATCTCACTTAAGAGTTGACTTGTCGGTCAACTTGCACTCACAAAAATGAATGGATCCTATTTTCTAAAAATTCACACACGCCGGGCCACATCATGATAACCCATACGAGAGCTTATGTGCATCGTTAATTGGACAATCTCCCTCTAATTAATCTTAGTGAAACAATGACATAGATGTCGACTTTGCAAGTCTGTGGGCTTCTGGAGATGAGACAGACTCATAAATATTATGTAATTAAACAAAATATTATTATGATTTTGAACTAATAATAATCTATCATTGTTAGCGCATTTTCTCATTTATGGAAAAAAGGTGCTATTGTGCTCGCCATATCCGTCTGTCCGTCCGTCGTCTGTCTGTCCGTCCGTGACTTCACGTTTTCGTCGACGAAAGAATGCGCTCTCTGTCACTCACTGCAGTGAGTACTGAGTTATATATTTTTTTAATTTAACTCCTAATATTATTACAGAATATTTATTTCAATATACAGTTTTATTTTGATGTTACACGATGGCTGCCCTTCGTAGATCCATGAGAAGGTTGACTCTGACACGCCTCCTGTTGGCAGGTGGTGACTCTTGCCGTGTACACCTTCGCCATCTGCACCATCATGGGCAGGCAGCTCCTGGACCCGAGTAGGGGTGAGTTTGTGGACCGAAACACCATTTCTTTTGACAAAAAAACATTCAATTCGTGAACTTAATTTCGTGATTGCTGGGGGAATAAACTCTGGATACATTAAATTACTCATTCACAAAAAAAAGTAAGTGGAATGGCGGAAAAAAAACTCTTGATGCATTCATTGTATGCGACATTAGTACCCATTCACAAAAAAAAAAACTTGACTGGAGATTGTATGACCGCGAAAGATATCTTCTCAAATCTATGTTATGCCAAACAGTTTGGAACTTACCTCAGCCAAAACTTTTAGATCATGAGTAAATTCCTCGGCATGGGAATCAATAATGTGTTGTATATACAGTGTGAAATCTCTATGCTATCCGTTCAATCGATTCTAGCTCGAACGCGTCGCACATCAAAGGCTCGTTTGCCAAACGCAAACAGAAGTCCTGATGCTGGAGGCCGTTGGGTACAAAGATAACGTACTCAAATGTTGAGTGATTAATGCAATATATCGATTTTGTGGTATGTGTGAATGTTCATATTGAATACAAACCTGATGGAACAATGACACTCGTCATCTACAGGAGGCTCGTTCGCTCCTAAGATGGTGGGTTAGGTAAGGCAGGCTTGTCAGCGTGATTGTTTATGGCTGTCAGCCATAGATTGTTTATGGCTGAATTGTTGAAGTATTCAGGCCCTCTACAGGCCAATGGATAGGAGTTGGAGAGAAATACCAATCCTACATAATAATCTCGCTTTGTATTTCAGCCTCTTGCTACACGATTGGTCAAAGAATAGTGACTTGGACGTTTTGACAAGGAAGAATCATAGTCCCACATATCATTGAACTTCAAGTACTAGAAATCTTGAAAGTATTTTTATTTCAATATGCCCATACTTAGTAGATTTCCTTCAAATTTCACAGGTTTGAAGGGCAACAGCGTGGACATGTATGTGCCCACGTTCACCATCCTGCATTTCTTCTTCTACATGGGTTGGCTGAAGGTGGCTGAGTCGCTCATCAACCCCTTTGGCGAAGACGACGACGACTTCGACACCAACTACCTCGTCGACCGCAACGTTCAGGTAAACACTGCCTGCTCGTGCATCTCTTCAAACATTGTACGATGGTCGTAAGTTCATGGTTCTAAATGAGGGTGTAAATTCACGTCTGAAGGCGGTTTTAGACGTTCTTTACACGTTAAGGGCAGCACGTTCCACTGGTGGGTTGTGGGGACTTTTTTCCGGACAAATTCCGCAATCTAGTTTTTTTTCCAATTGCGTTTGTCGACAAAAGTTTATGATTATATTACAACCTCATTAATTAAATAATTTTAAAATATATAGGGAAAAGGAAAATTTAACTTTTGCGCTGTAACCTAAAAATTTACTATATTTTGTGAATTATATGCCTTTTTATACGCGGACTTTGCCGTTTTTGGGCCATCTGGCAGCGCTGGTGGGTCGTGCGGCACTTAACGTGTTAAGATTTATCTTGTGATCTTGTGATGAGTTTAGGATTTCCTAGTCCCCGGTCAAGCTAATGCGCCGCCTTCGTCGTCCTCCGTCTCAGAGTCGTCGCTTGACAGGTCACCCCGCCCTCGGGTCCCGGATGCAACGTTGGAAGTGTTCCGTCTATTTGCCCTCCTTTGGGCCAGCTGATGCAAGATACTGTTGTAGGTTTTACGTTCTCAAGGTGAACATTGCATGGTTCACGTTCTCGAGGTAGCCCTACTTCGAAGTTTTAATAATGGTCGTAAATTGTACTTTGTAAGATCTTCGTTGGTTGTACGCGTTCGATATATAGCTGTTGGTTCGACGTCGTCACTGCGATCGTAGGTTTGATGCTCGGTCAGAAAATGGTTTGTCGTTATCAAAGTGGCTATACCTGCCTGAATATGTTCCCTGAGTATTTCTCCTGACTGAACGTGTTCGTTTCTCCCCAGTTAGCTTTCTTGACTGAATATGTTGACCGAGCGAAAGTTTTCTACCTGACTTAATAAAGCGAATGTGCCTACTTTGCGCATGAATCCAACGTGATTGTGAACGAAATTTTTAGCACATTTTCTCATTTATGGAAAAAAGAAGCTATTGTGCTCGTCATGTCCGTCCGTCCGTCCGTCCGTCCGTCCGTCCGTCCGTGACCACGTTTTCGTCGACGAGAAAATGCTCTCTCTGTCACTCACTGCAGTGCAGTGAGTACTGAGTTATATTTTTTGATTGAATATGCTGACCGAACGAAAGTATTCTACCTGACTGAATAAAGTGAATATGCCGACTATGCACAGGGAGCCTACGTGATCGTGGACGAGATGCACGAGGAACACCCCGAGCTCATCAAGGACATGTATTTCGAGGATGTGGTACCTGCAGCGCTACCATTCACCATCGCCAGTGAACACTTCAGGAGCAACCAGGCTGCCAACCACGGTGAGTACCACCAACCTTGTACCACCAATTACGATGCAGCCACTGAGGTCAATTTAGTTGCAGTTTCCACTGCAACTCAGGTTAATTGTATTGCAGTGGGCTTAAAATGAATGCATTTTGGCTATACGAATCAAGAAAATTCAAATAAGGAAGAAAATTTCAGCATCTGGAGCGAGCAGTGTTGATGGCGGTTAAATGCATTCGAGACTGGCGGGAAACGATATTGGCTGCCTGTCGTGTTTATTTTAAAATTAAGGGGCTTCGATCGTATTGGAGTATAAAATTTTTTGCACGAAACGTATGTTCCAGGTAAGGAAGCACTCGAGTCCAGAGGTGTACCAACCATGAGCTACCTTTGCACTGTTTTTATTTGGTTTAAATGTTGCATTTCGTCCTGCACCTACAGGGTCGACGATGGCGGTGAAGATAGCGGAGCCCTTGCAGGAAATCATAGAGCCTCTCATCGAGGACAAGTCGCACCGCGTCGTACACACCGTCGTGGGGGGACTGGTGCAGGAGAACCACAAGGAGAAGTCGCTGAAGGTGGGGATGCTGATATGGGTTACGTAAATAGAAGAGTTGAAGACATAGGAATATAAGTGAAGGATTTAAAATAACGTGCTGTAATTATAAGCTTTGGAGTGATGGATATGTAAGTGAAGATGATGAAAATATAACTCAGTACTCATGCTGTGAGTGACTGAGAGCGCAATTTCTCAAAATCGACGAAAACGTGAAGTCACAGACAGACGGACGGACGGACATGACGAGCATAATAGCGCATTTATTCCATAAATAAGAAAATGCTCTAAAACTATAATCTGTCCGGTCCAACCAGCGGAAATTTTCTCAGCCGGAATCCAAGAGCGTCTCCAGCAGAAGGTCCTCGGGGCAGTCTGCCATTGCCACGTTCATCAGGAGGAGGAAGAAAAGCTTCTTCACCCGCGCCGCTGACAAGAGTTCCCCCAAGAAGAGCCGAGGTACGTCACCCCAGAAGATATGGTTATATAAATCGCGGCGTAGTGCGTCAAGTGATACTGACGCATTAAACTAAGGCACAGTGCGTCAAGTGATACTGACGCATTAAACTAAGGCGTAGTGCGTCAAGTGATACTGACGCATTAAACTAAGTCGTAGTGCGTCAAGTGATACTGACGCATTAAACTGAGTAGAAGTGTCTCAAGTGATATAAATTGTCGCAGTATAATCGATACAATTTACAGCTAAACAAATATAAGATACGTCGTAACATAATGAGTATATTCGTTCATTAACGCATGACCCAGTGGTTACAGTTCAGAGTACCAAGATTGGCGCAGTGAGGCGCGGGTTCGATCCCAGCTCTGTGCGCCAGTTTCTGGACGAATAGGCGAGGATGCCGGGCGGTTTTAAGCAAAGCAAAATTGTAGCAGTGAGTTGCGAGTTCGAGACCGCAAAATGCTGTGAATATTCTTCCATGTTAAGAATCGGCGACAGGCCTACGGCCTAATAAACGCTTTAACCGCTAAGCTATGATATATACTCGCATGTATGAGCAGCACCCAGCGTCAGCAGCAGCATCCACTCCCTCATGAGCCTGAAGAGCTTCAGAAGCCACGACCGCCTGTCTGAGAACCTGGGGGGCTGAGGGAGGAGAGGGAGAAGGAGGGCATGGTGACTAGAAGAAGGGGAGATAGAGATGGTCTAATAAAATTCCCAAAACATATTGTTATTGCTTATTTCTTTTCTTTTAAGTTGAAGACTAAATTTGCTGACGAGAAGGCAAGATAGAAATGGTCTATTTAAATTCCTAAAAAATATTATTATTATATATCTCTTTTCCTTTAAGTTAGAGACTAAATTCGCTGTCGAGAAGGCGAGGTAGAGATGATACAATAAAATTCCTAACAAATATTATTGTTTTTTCCGTTAAGTTGAAGACTAAATTCGCATGGAAGAGATAAAATTAAAGGGAAAAATAAAAAGGTGAAGTGGTGTGAAAACCGATCGATTAGCAGTTGTAAGCGGATTAGAACTTGTAAGCGTTGTTTAGATAAGGTATTAGATTAGAAATTTTAGATTATTTCGAGATCCGTCAAGATCTAGACAATTTCATCGAAGGTAGACAATAAAATTTTGAAATTGCATGCAGACACGCGGTTGCATCGCCCTGATCAGCGTGGAGGCGCTCAGATGATTGAAGTGATTGCGAAAGTAGGTTCTCATAGTACGATAACTCCTAATTTCATCAATTTCATATTGATCTAAATCTTACTAACTACTAAAATTTTTATAAAAATTGTTCTGCGGACTGCGGTACGCGTCTTCATTTTTTTTGCTTACATATGATTTTTCTCAGAACAGTCAAACGGCTACTATTGACAAATTAATCTAGCTTCCTCCAGTCAATGCGAAACTGATCTCTACTTAGTCCTCGTCTTCTAGCCCGCCTGTGCTACTCGTTGACACATGTCAACCTCCTCCCGTTCTTTATTAAAGTGGTGAAACGGGAGCTTTAAATCGCACATTACTCCGTTAATTTGCTCACCTTTTGCGCCACACAAATGATATTATTTTGCACTGTTAATGAAAAAACACAGTCGATCGAAAACGCTCTCGTTGGTAGTAGAAGCGATGTTTTGCGCGTTAGTTAATCCTTAAACGTCAAAGGTGATGACCTTTTTCCGAAATATGAACTATGAGTTCATCAACATGCTTATTTTACCCATCAGGTTCAAATTTTTGTATGAATATGGTTCGATCTTTTGCAGTTAATATGCAGAGCCTCCCTCTCCGTAATAGCCGAGTTTAAAATTTGATATTGCTTTTAGCCCTTCCAACATTATTCAGTTCTATGACGGCGGAAATTTGAAGAAAGTTCACCTTTACTATTTATTAGTATAATTTACTATTACTATTTACTTGCTGTATTCCGTCAACGTCATCGAACCAAGGTCCGTATATGGGTCAGCGTAATGCAGGTCCGAATATATAGTCAGCAATTCGGCGCTAAAAGTATCAAAATATTAGAGCACATTAATTATATGTTAAATTTATTGTGAAGAGTTTGATAATAACGCAAAGTGAACTGTTAATACATTGATAAAAATGCACACATTACATTACTACATTCGTGATTTGCACATTCCCCGCGTATTGGGCCATATTTGTGCACCAACAATGATATTCCACTGCTGCGTATTGCATGGGACACCATGTGTACTAAACGCAATATTTCGCTTTCGATAAAACATCTATAAATCGGAATTTCCTCGGTAAACTTCTTCTTTTAGAGTATTTGTGTTCACACGTAAGGTTGACAAATGATCAATCAATAAACCAAAAATCTATTCATAAAAAAAAAATAACTAAAGCAGCAACCACTCAATAAGGGATTAGTGGTAAAATCCAGATACGCGGGGAACGTGTTAACTCTCTACCGCCGTATGTCACTCTCCCGGAACATAATTTTCAACTTAAATTATACGTAAACTGTTGAGTGTAGCAACCTGAGGACTTTTATACGCAATAGAGAACATTTTAAAGTTGTCGGACGTGTCGGCAACCATCAGTGCAAGTCATTTTACGCTAACTAGAACGTATCCTTTTTTGGGAAGAAGACTGAGAATATGGCTCCGGTTACTCATGTCAGGAGGTAGAGGACTAAAAAATATAATGGGCGCGCAAGTTAGGCTCCTTTACCCCTATTAACATTTTGTAAAAAAAGCAATCGTAATCGTAAGTTTTTTGGGTGTAAGAAGTCAATTTACGCGGATATTTCCAGTTAACACGGAAGGCAACCTTTAAGTGGAAAGCGGACTCCTAAACGTGTATATTCTTCCTACGGAGTTAAGTGTGGGATTGAGCCGATCCAGCCGCTGAAAATGGTTGCTTGTGGCTGAGGGTCGATTTCTGACATCAAAATAAGTTGTTTCCAACAGGTTAACTGTATTAAATCTATACAAGGCATTCAACTTCGAGAATAAGGAACGGAATTACGTCACCATTAGCCACTGTAATGCTAAGAAAGAGAATAATGAATCGTGATTGAAATCACATTTTAAAGAGTTTTTTTAATTAAATGTTAGAAACAACGGTGAAATTCAGCCCTGGCCAAATGTGGTTCGAAATTTTGATGAGAGCTAAAAATTATATAGATCCACTCAGGGGGGACTTCTGACGCGTGTCTGTGCTCGTCAGAAGTCCTAAATATATGGGATTTTGCGCTCCTAGGGGGCGCCCCATTGGATTTCGCCCCTATGGTATTTCGTTCCTGAGCGCCCCACCGCTGAGCTCGCGATGTCTGACTGTTGGTTTCATTTGTGAGGTTAAGTTATTATGTAGGTAGGATTCCCTACATTAAGTTATTATGTAGGTAGGATTCCTTGCATTAAGTTATTATGTAGGTAGGATTCCTTACATTAAGTTATTATGTAGGTAGGATTCCTTACATTAAGTTATTATGTAGGTAGGATTCCTTGCATTAAGTTATTATGTAGGTAGGATTCCTTACATTAAGTTATTATGTAGATAGGGTTCCTTTTTCCTTTCTCTGTCTCTCTCGTGCGGGCGGCCGACGTCCCGGAACAGTGGTTACAAGCCCCCAAGAAGACCCTGATCATCATCCGCAGAGGCGTGCACTGGAAGTGGAGGCAGGAGACAAAACCACCAAAACTGAGATTCCCCACCCCCCAGCTACCAACTCCAGACCTCTCCGCGCAGGTACAGATCTTAGTCGCAAAAGGC